AGAAAATGAGAGGCAGAGGAGAGGGTCTCTAAATCCCATTCTGAATGAATATTCAGCATTCAGGGAAATTACATTTATCCCTGGAGAAGGTCAAACTTTATTTCTGGGCTATGACTAGTTCCTGAATTTGTTTATTAGCTGGTGTGATGGAAGCACACAGATCTGTGGGTAGCAGGAAAGGGGAGCCATTCCCAGTCTGAAAACCTTGGTCTTTGGGGCTCGTTTTATTTTGCATCAGTTGTAAGGTTCAGCCCCTCCTTTCACTGCTCCCTCGGTGATGTTGAAATATCCCCTTTCAAGACATGAGAATTAATGGGATTGTGTGTGAATTTTTCAGAACATAGTGAAAGATTATGTGTCTGAAAAACGGGCTTGCTAAGATTGCCTGTAGAGTGTTCCTGAGAAAAGCAAATGAGATGATGAGTGCAAATTGAGGCGGACAATTGCTGGGCTACACAGAAGCTTTGGCGAATACAATTATGATTCCATGAATGCCTAGAGAGGCAAAGGGGAGTGTGAGAGCTCAGGGGTGCAAGCATCCACCTGGCATCAGTGGGTGCCAAGTATTCTTGCATTAGACTGAGTATCAGCACATTGCTGGGCACCTTGTGGCCAGGTGGCACCTGTCCATGCAGGGAGCAGAGTTAATGAAGGCTCCAGACCACATAAATGAGCTGCTTCCTGGTCCATTAGTCAGTTTCCATTTTGAGCATGACCTCCCATAGTCCCCTATGCAGTGACTAAGCAGGTCCAGAAAGACTGCCCCAGACAGACACACGGAGGAAGACATACAGCCTGAAGCAGCAGCATGGGTCTACTCTAAACCTAGATAAGCTTGTCTATCTGCCCCACACAAATCAAATTACAAGTTTCTTGAGTTCAGTTCCCTTCAAGCACATCTTTCCCAAGTCTCTGCAACCTGCCAGGTGCTGTGTGGGAACCGAGGAGTTGCCCCCAAGTGCTTAGAGACTTGTGGGCAGACGCAGAAGTCTGCACTGCTCTTCAGACCACATGGGGGACACATGATCAAAAATGTGGGATGCTGTGGAAGAGTAGAGGGGGTGGACTGGGGTGCATCGTGGTTTGACGGTAAATATTCCCCAAGTTCAAATGTTTGAACACTTGGTCCTCGTCTGTTCACACTAATTGGGAAGGTAAAGCTCAGCCTGGCTTGGAATGCATGATTTCACATTCAAAGTGCAACAGGGTGGGGTCAGGGCAGGAAGCCTAGAGGAAGGGAAAGCACCAGTGGAGATGTGAAGGATGAGTGAATGGCCACAGCCTGACCAGATCAGAGGAGAGGAAGGTGTAAGGTTAGATGAGGCAGCTGTGGTGCCGAGCACAGTAACCCTTGGGAGGCCAGGGCAGGAGGATTCTAAGTTCAAGCCTGGCCTAGGCTATGTAGTGAAGCCCCCCTCTCAAAAAACAAAAACAAAACCCAAACAAACAAGCCCCCCCAAAAAACAAAAACTAAAACAAAAGCAGAGAAGCAACTGTGGGCAATAAGGGGTCCTGGGGTCCCAAGGCAGAGATGGAATGGTGGCATAGGAACCTGGAAAGGCAGGTAGGTTGGGGCTGGGTAAAGAATGATCTAGAGTACAGAGAACCATCTGACAGCCCACTCCTGGCCCCAGTGGTCACACTGTATACTACCCACAGTCACTGGCTGATAAGGGAGAGGCCCAGCCAAGGCCGCTGAGCTCACTCGTTCGGTTGATCTGTAATGCATGCAATCACCCCCCACAAATGTGGTTATTGACCTCATCTCTAAAAGGTACAGCTCCAGGAAGGCCTATCGGAACAGAGTTTACCGGGAACCAGGAGGTGCCTGGGAAGGGTGGTGCAAGACTGGGTGCCATTGCAGGCACAGCAAACTCACCAAAGTTGCTTGGGTCTCAAGCCCTTTACAGGGATTTACTTCCCTCTGCCACAGAAGTCCCTTCCCTGCCCATCAGTGGCTGGGACAATCCCAAACCTCCTGGGGAGTTGTGAGTTGGCCCACAGTGTGGGCTGAACACTTGGATGTGCCTGAACATCTGATTGAGCCAAGTGGAATTGCATAATGAGCACAAGCTTAGGACAGAAAAGGTGGCAAACAGAGGGATGTTAGAAGAAAGAAGGTAGCTAAGCAGATGGCTCTGAAAACAACTCACTGTTGAAACAGTAAAAGGAGAGGAGGGAAAGCTACATTTGTTGGTGGGTTTTATTTGTAGGCCTTTTTCTTTTCCTCTAGCAAAGGAAAACACAGGCCACGGTTCCTGCGCCATGTAACCAACATAAATCTCAAGCAACTCCCACGAGACAGAATGCAGTCTGCTGTATTGGAGTTGGTCCTTAAATATTTCTTCGGGACTGTTTCCCTGTCTATATTAATAACTAAGTTTCCTGGGGGGTAGAGCTTCCCCAGGCTCCCTTGGGCTGGGCTATTCATCATGGCAGCAGCTGGAGATAAGCTGGACACAAAGACTCGTGTCTCAAGTGGGTCGGTCCCTAGATACGGAAGGTGGAGGAATTTTCTCATTAGTAGGAAGTCTGTGGTGGGAAGTCTGGGCTTTCACCGCATGCCCCTGCTGCAGATGGCAGCAGGGAGGAAGGCGCACTGGAGGGACAAAGCCCTCCACAGGGCTTTCACTGGACAACTGGAAGTTTCCAAAGCCAGCTTTCTTGGGAGATGAAAAGCAGACGTGCCACTTGTACTTGGGGAGGTAGTAGATCTGCCATAGGAGTTGTCTGAACTTGTTCCTACTCCCAGGAGAGCCACAGTGGGAGAGCACTCCACATGAGGTACTCTATGCTTGGGAGGACCTTGTGGGGAGCACTGCTGACTGAAACCTAAGGGATCACCAAGGGCCAAAATCTTAGAGATACTCATTATGGCAAGGATGGACTGGAAATTCAGAGGTGTGGGATGGCAGGGACCACAAAGAGCCAATGATGCTTACAAAGTTCCCGAACGTCTTTGCATTCACATACCTTGAGGGATTCCAAAATTGGTGAGTGGACTGAACAAGAAGGGATTCTCTGAATTTGGCACAGCATCTGGGGCTGTTTAGAAGTGCTAATTCCGTTATATTTGAATATAAGCTGGGGTTCCCCACCAGCATTGCACAGACCCTGGGAACAAAGTAGTGTTCTCAATGGCCTACAGTAGGCTGTCAATGTCCCTCAGCAATTGCTGTAAACCCAGAGGAAATGGACATTCTTAGTAGAAACTAAGTGACCTGCTTGGGTGGTTCTGCCATGCTCTAAGACATCATGTTGGCATAACACCTACAGGGAAGGCATGCCATCCTCATCCTCTGTGAACAGAGAGGACCCTATATCACTCACTTCCAGAGTCTGAATAAAAATCCAATCTTTAATGTAGAAACCCCTAGTTTCTAGACCAGTGGTTCAGCTTAGAAGACAGCATTGATAAAGAGTCATGTACATACACACATCTACACTTAAAAATTTCCCGAAAAACTTTTTTTCCAGAACCATTTCTGCATAACTGGCTGTGGGCAAAACAAAACAAAACTAACCAAAACACCAAAACCAGAAACAGCTTTGCACAGTGGTGGGAAAGAAGTGCATATAACAGGCACATTTCACACCTGAATTGATGACAGAAGCAGACCCCAAAGCCATCCAATGGGAGAGGTCGCCTAAAGAATGGTCACTGGAGCACACACTTGAAGAAAAATGTTGCTATTGTAAGTATTTTCAATGCATCTTCCCATGCATGGGATACCGCTGGGTTGGTTTTTGTGTTACTCTGGCTTTCTTGGAATAACATAGCCGTGCCCCACAGCAGGACGAGCAAGCTAGCTTAGAAAGCCCAGTTTCTCTCTTCTTTGCCACCTCTGGGAAAACACAATGAGATGCAGAAAAGGTCAGAGCCTTCGACTCATGTAGAGATGCTTCTGACACAGAACCAGGGAGCCTCTGCATGCTGAACTGTAGACTCCAAACCCAGGTTTAGTCATGGCAGCAAATGAAAGGTCTAGACAGAAAGGCCCCCATTTCCCCCCTCTGGTGATGTGAATAGCTTGTGTGAACACAATGGAAGCCCCTTTCCCTTCCCTTCCTGTTTCCTTTCTACCTTCCTCCCTTTGAGGAAGTCAAAGGCTTGACTGACTCTTTAGAGTAATGGTTCCCAACCTTCCTAATGCTGCAACCTTTTAACAAAGTTCCTCATGTTGTGGTGACCCCAACCATAAAATTATTTTCATTGCTACTTAATAACTGTAATTTTCCACTGTTATGAATCATAATGTAAATATCTGTGTTTTCTGATGGTCTTAGGTGACCCCTAGTGAAATGGCCATTCAACCCCAAAGTGTCACGCCCCACAGGTTGAGAACTGCTGTTGTACAGCATGACTCCCCTAACCCTGAAATCCGACAGCAGTGACGGTAAAAGGACTCCACACCAGCTCTTGTTCATGGCATCAGCAAATGACATCAAGGGCTGTCCCAGTCCGGAGCAGCCATAGGAGAACAATTTCTTCAAAGTCAACAGCTTTGAGTATTTTTCTCATAGCTGCTGATGCTAACTCCCTGTGAGGGAGCTGTTCTGATCCCTGAGGGGCGAATGTACACATGATCATGCTCTTCCATCCCTTTGAGATGGAAGCAGGCTGTGGACACTAGGGTAAGATCTTCAAGAAGGATTCAATGGGCATTTGTATTTCCTTACAGCTTCCCCTCAAGGAGGGCTGGACATGTACACATCATGTTGATGGTCCAGAAACAGTCACAGATGAAGATCCTCACAGCAGTCCGCCAATCAGTGGCATAGCAGACGGTTCATCCTAACTCATCCTCATTAGTCTAACAGTCTCAAGTTGGAAGTTTGCTTGCGGTAGCTCTCTTCCTCATCCCCTCCAGCTCTCTCATTCCTCAGTCTTACAGGAATGCAAAGCAAAAATGTCATGGCTCTGCACCTACCCAGGGAGCCTCCAGGAGCCTAGGACTCCAGAATTTTCCACCAGTCAGGAGGAAAAAAGACAAGCCAGCAAAACACATTATCATTTTATTATGTAATTTCCTTCTACAAGAAAAATCTCTAAAAATATAAATATGAGCTCTCTAAAAAATACTCAGAATAGAACTATAATCTTGTTCTTCCAAACAGGGACAAAAGTTGTTCTGTAAAAGATGATGAGTTAAAAACACATGTCTTCATATCTTGCAGATACAGAACATTCACAGGTACATTTCTAGAGAGAAGTGTGGGCTGGGACAGGGGAGGAGGTACCCTCTTTCCAGGGCTTCTGGAAGCTTACATTGTGATCTATAAGGGTAAAGCTATGGGCTGGACAGGGGTATACAATGAAGCTGGAAAGAAGTGTGTGTGTGGGGGGGCTCCAAGGCCCCAGCTTCTTCATTAGATCCTTCATTCCTCCCCATTAAGCCTGCCCCCTATACATATAAAACTACCCAAGGACTAAGTCCCCAGAGGATCTTGGTTCATTGTGAAGGCTGCCATGCTACAGTCCAGACTGCTGAGATGGTCAGTGAGCCTGTTGGGGCACTAGATGGAAGAGCTGATGTGAGCCGAAGCTATCAAGAGGATTTGTTCCTGCTGGTTCCTGGGAAGTACTTAGCCCCTAGTACCAGGCAATATCTGCAGCATCTAAGACAAGGCTCAGTCTCAGAGGACCTCCTGAGGTAGCAGCATCACTTCTGTAGTAGGGAGATGGCCACGACCCTAGGAGTTGGTGTAGGCATCCGTGGCACCTAATTCAACATCAAGCCCAAGTCTAAAGTACTCCGAAGCTTCCTTCTCACGGGTCCTGAAGGCCAGGACTCTAGCAGTATCCTGGGTGCTTAAGCAAGCCAAATGTCATGCTGTTGGTTTTAGGTAACCATATCACTTAGGCACTTTTGGGAAGGAGCAGACCATGATTCTGGTATGGAGAGCTCAGATCACATTGGACATGTGCTCCAGTGCATGTCTAGACTTTCTACCCTGCAGCATAAATGCTCCGTTTTGGGTAATATCACAAATCCCTCTGGGGAAAATTCATAGATCCTCAAATGCTAGCCCTAAGGACTTCTCAGACTTCAGGGTCAGATGTCACATCCTTGGGATGTTCTTGGAGCAAGTCATGTGCGCTACATATGTGCTAACAGTCCTGTGTACTCTACCAGAGCCTTCAGATGTCTAGCTGCATGGATTCTCATCTGAGAGGAAGAGACCAGACTATGCAGGGAACATGGAATGAATCTCTGCATTCATTGCAATGGGAGATGGAGCAAGAGAAGAGGATTGGAAAGCAGAGATGGATGAAGCCATATAGCTGCTTAAGAAAGGCTATTGGAAGGAAACCACACCCCAGGGATGTGGCTGAGATCTATTCTGGTTCTGCAGGAGTTAGCTCAGATGTCTGCTGAACAGGAGAAGGGAAGCACGTTGGTGATGTTGAACTAGCAAGTGAGACATGTGTGCCCCAGTCTCACAGATGGGAAGCCAAGCAAGCAGAAAAGGGAAGACCACGGGAAGTAGAACAGATGACTGCTACATGGCCTGCCCTGACTGGATGCATCATCCCCAGTCTCCTTGTGGGGTTCTGACCACCTTGTTCGAGAACAGGGATGTCCTCTTCTGACTACAAAGACCCTTGTGGCTAGGATCACTACAGAGTCTCCTGGCCACAGGAAGACAGCATGATAGGGCCCCTGCAGGGAGAAAGAAACACAGAGCAAGTTAACCTGGAAGGCAGGAGCTGGTCAAGGGTTGATAAACCTTGTTGGTTCCTCACACAGATCCCGACGACAAAGGCAGAGGAGGTTTGCTGTTAGGTGGATAAAGCACAGAGGCTCGGGGTATCTCTGGGCAGACCTGGGGCTGCAGGGAATTCAGGCAACCTCAGCACAAACACAAAGAAGCACTCTCACTTAGTGACAACTGCTTTGCCTCCACAGTCCTTACCACATTCCAGTCTCTCACATGCTACACCCTGGCTCTCACACACACTGTTCCCAGGCCCCCGGCACTGCCTAATTCTTGGTGTGGAGTGGCCCGAGATGCTGCTCTGATTTGATGCTCTTCTCAGTCCCTGCTGTACTCTTCTCTATGATCTTGTAGATCCATTCCATGCTCCTAAAGCTCTTCTCTTGAACACCAGAACACTCTCCGCTGCTTTCTCAGGGGCCAGCCTACCCCCATCTTCACACACACAGCAAGGAACCCCAGCACAACTACCCACACCATTGTCCTAAGTGCCTATCCAGAGATGTAGGGAGCTTCTAACTGTATGGGGAAAACCTTGGGGACCCTGGTAACAAAGTTAAAACTTTGAGGAAGCCCTCAAGGTCCCAAGCCTTTGAAGCACCTCCACTGGCCCTAACCCAGAAATAGAGGAAAGGTGGTGGCTAGAGATCCATGTGGCCTAGAGGCTGAAGGAACTATGGTGAGGTGGTGTCAAGAGTGTAGCTATCTAGGCAAAGTCCCATCATCAAGCCAAACCTACCACTGTTCCCTAGCTGTATTTCCTTCAAGGCAGGGAGTCCTTGGGCCACTATGGAGGAAAGGGACAGAATCAGGGCTGGGTGAGGGGGTGGGTGGATGAAAGAACAGACAGCATATGCATCTGATCAGACAGGCAAAGAGTTCCTGCCAAAGCCATCCTCCTAGGCTGGTGGTCCTGTAATTCAGTAGGAAGTTGGGACAAGACTGATGGTGGATGAATTCCAGTAGCAGCCAGAAGATCTTACAGAGAAGTAGGATCAGAGATGCCACCCCCATCCTTTTGCCATTCTGCAGACTCCTTAAGTGGGACTACTTGTGGCCATCTGGTCCTGCAACACCTTAGGTAGAGAGTAGGCTGTGCCGTACCTTCCATGAAGGAAGATGAGGGCATGACAGAGTTGGGACAAAGAACCTGTGTGTAGTGGAGGACAAAGTGAAGAGTGTGTTCAGCAGGGAAGACAAGACACTACTCAAAGGACAGCAGGTCTGGGTGAAGGCCCTCATTGTCAAGGCTGGAGGTCCGTGCCAGTGGAGGTGGGCTGCTGTTCTCCCAGGACTCAGCTAGGCTGATGGGACTCAAGCTGAGTTTGAGGCCATTCCTCTCAATGGGGTCAGGGGAGGAGGCTCTTCTGCATTCAGTCACCTTTAGCTTGGATTCTTCCTGGCTGTTCTTGTGTATTAGGTCAGGTACCAACAGGGACACCTCACCATTGGGCAGAGCCTCTCCCTTGTCTCCCATTTCAATGATAGACTCTGGTCGTGAATTATCTGTAGAGACAGGCTGAGCAGTGAGTAGAGTGTCCTGGACCTGCCCAGGTGACAATTCTGTCCCATATTCTAGATTGCTTAGGACTGGCTGTGATGAAATCAGCATGTCCTGGGTGGTCTTCAGGGCCCGAGGGGTTCGCTTCCGGGTTATGGGAGGTGGAGGATCCAGCAGAGGGAAGGCTTCTTGGACTGACCTGCAAGACCATGACAGTAAATGTTCAGGCTTTATGACGGTGAGACATATTATTAATATTATTGATTCTCTACTCCAGCTGCTCCTTCAGCTTTCCCCCAAGAGAGTACTTCTTCTACTGAGTGTTCATTCTGAGTTAAGGGTGTAGATCTCAGCTACAGAGCTGTTCCCTCCTCATTCAGTGCTCAGAGTGGCACAAAGTGCTGCCTCTGTGAGGTTGGAGAAAGATCCTGGTCATCTCAGAACCCAAGTACTCGGCCCCATTAAAGGGCACATGAGCTCTTGGCAAAGGTGTTGGACTCAAGGCCTGGAAAGGAGCTGTTGGGTGGAAACAGAAGTAGCTGTAGTGGGTTTTTCCCTTCCCATCAGGCACTCAGTCTACAGTAGCAGTTCTCAGGACTGGCTGACATAAGAACCCATGAGAGGAGTTTGAGTGACACCAAGGTTCAAATTCAGTTCCAAATACTAACTGAGAGGCACAGCCACCTCTCTGAACTTGGATCATTTGCAAAGGAAACTATACCTAAACCAGGCATGGTGGCTCACACCTGTCATCCCAGGAAAGCCAAGACAGAATTGCCATGACTTTGAGGTCAGATTGCTTGGTCTGGAAAAGTGTGTTCTAGGCTAGCCTGAGTCACAGGATGAAACAGAGCTAAGCACGCAACACCCAGGCAGGAAGTGGTTCTCTGGCCACGAGAGCTGAAGCGGGCTCTGTGAACACAGGTGGATTTCAGCTTTTCTTGACTTGCTCATCCCTTCCTTGGGTCTGTTTTCTCCGGAATATGCTGTAGCTTGTCTGTGTTCCTACCTCTTCAAGTGGGATAGTGGTGAGGTGACAGAGGACTCACCTCTCATCCTCCAGCCAGGCTCCACAGGCTGCCTCTTCTCCACCAGCCAGCTGGGCTCCAGCAGTCTTGTTAATCTCCATCACACCCACACTGCCCAGGCTTGAGGACTCCTTTCTTCGCAGGAGGTCATTGACCTTGGCCCCCATGGCTTTGCCCAGGTTCTTAAGGTGCTGGCTGCTGCCCACCCTCAGTCCTGGTCCTCCTGACTCTGCAGAGCCAGGGGTGATGGTACTTGGGGCTGCAGATCTGGACAGGTGCGGGAAGGAACGGCTGGATTGGAGCTTTGGAGTGAGGGCTGTGTTCAAATTCTCAAACATGCTGTGGTCAACTATGAACAAAGAAGAGAGAGAAAGACATGTAAGTGGAGGGGAGTAGGACCCTGGGCTTCATTCTTCATCTTTCCTTGATTTATAACACACTTGGGGCTTTTCCCAGCAGAGTTTTGGAAGCTTCTAGTAAAGCTGCTTTTAAACTTTCCAGGATAGTCTTGTCTTTTCTTTTCTTCTTCTTGTTCTTTTTGTGTGTGTGTGTGTGTGATAGGACATGTGACCAAAAATTTCAGTTGTTCCCTATCCTGGTTAATCAGTGACTGAATCAGCCATAAAGAGTCAAGAGTATTCCTTTAAACCAGTCTCCTTGACATCTTTGGCCATGGGGCCATGAGACCTTTTGAAGCAGAGAGAAAATGAGGATGACAATGAAGTGTGACATGTTTACACTGCTGGGCACATATGCTGCACTTTCTTTCTCAGGCACTGGGAACCTGGCCTCCTCCAGGAATGGCAGGCAAGGGTTCTGTGCTGGTATCTCCCTACTGAAGACACAGTGTGACACATTCTCTCTATGGAACATGAGCCAGCAGCTCCTAAGCTCTTCTGGAATGGAACTTGGGGAAGCAGGTAAATTTGTAGACACAGAGGCCACAGAGGCAGTCAGACAAACAGATCCCATGTGTGCCACATGGACAGGACTTTGCTTCCAGGGAAGTACAAGTATCCTCCCAAACTCTGTCCACTCATTCCCATGGGAACCTACTAAAGGAGCTCATTAGACTAGGGAGAGGCTCAGAGTAGTAACTGTGGGCTAGAATCAGAACTCAGGCCTTCTAACCCAGAGTCTTGGGCTCTTCCCTCATGAAATGGCTATGGAAGATCCTCTGGGACTTTTGTATGGCTTGAACAGTTGGCTTGAGGGTTAGCTTACTGGGTGGTAAACATTCCCAAGGCTGAGGCCACAATCCATGTGTCTTTGTATATTCAACACCAAACATGGGCTTAATACATGGCAGGAACTCATGAGTATTTAAAATGAATGCCCAAAATCCATTTCGCCGATGGAAAATTATGAAGGATAAGATGGTAGCTCTGAATCTGTTGTTGGAAAGGCTGGAACTCCAGGCTCTGTGTTATGCTGCTCACACTGGGTGCAGCATTTTATGTCAATTTGATACAGGCTAGAATCACCAGAGAGGAGGGAGCCTCAATAACGAAAATGTCTCCATAAGACTGGCTATAAGCAAACATTTTTTCAAGTAGTGACTTATGGAGGAGGGCTCAGCCCATTGTGGGTGGTGCCATCCCTGAGCTAGTAGTCCTGGGTTCTGCAAAAAAGCAGGCTGAGCAAGACACAGGGAGCAAACCAGTAAGCAGCACTCTTCCATAGCCTCTGCATCATCTTCTGCCTCCTGGTTCTGACTTCCTTCAGTGGTGGTCTGTGGATGTGTAAAGCATGAGCTAAATAAACCTTTCCACCTCAACTCGCGTTTGGTCATAGTGTATCATCACAGTGATAGTAACCCTGACTAAGACATGCTGACACCTAGTCATCTATTTGCTCTCTGAAAATTCATCTAAGTCACCAAAGAAGCCAGACTTTGAGCCTTAGTTGTCCATGGCCATTTTTCTAGCTTTTTTGTCTATCTGGACAAAGAAAGGTTGTATGTGGTCCCTAGGTTCTCACTGTCAATATGTCTGCTAAGGGTCTATCTTTCCTAAGTTTGCCTGAGGATTCAGGTTCCATCTCATTTGTCCTGCATTGCTGAATTCCAAGCCAGACAGAATGTTTCACTTTCTGTGATTTGAGTTGAGAAATCCCAAATGGATCAGCCGCCTAGATAATTTGTATTTGAAGGGTCCCTGGGTGGCAGGAAGAAAGCCATGGAAAGAAGAGTGGAGTTAGCCATGGATGACTTCCATGGTCTTCACATGGGCACAGTTTTTCATGGGATATGGGCTGGCAGCTCCTCAGGTCTCTTGGGATGGAATTACTATGTGGTAGGAAGGACATGCTAGGGGATTTGGGACAAGTCCCAAGCTGTCTGAACTCTATGTGCATCTATCATACTAGCAGAGCACTCAGCCTACCCCACAGTTGCTCTTGACCGTTCTCTTACTAACATCTCTCACCATGCCATCCACTTCTGGCAGAATTTGCCTATCATGACCCAAATCCTTTCATTTTTATTTACTCAGGCACCCTGCAAGCTAGCAGAGGTTATTTGGGAATGAATTCCACTATCTTCCTCTGCCCCTGCCACCCAGAAAGGAACTGTATGCAATGTATTAGGAGGGCAAGTTCCCCACTATTTCCTGGACCTTATATTTCCTTGGTGGTTTCTTTACATGGTCAGACCAAGCACACTCATCTTTAAAAGTGGGAAACACCCATCAATGTGATTTGCAAATCATGAGCACACCTTTAACAAACAACCTAGATAATGCCTCACTTGGATTTTCTGTACGCCCCTACTTTTCATAATATAGTCTGTAAAAGATCAGAAATCCCTCAGCAATTTAAAGTGAGTCTGTTATATACTTTCTTTATCATTACCTGAATTTTCCTGGGAAATGAGCCTGGTTTATGTAATAGAAAGGGGAGACCTCGAAAGGGGCTATAGAATCTTAGAGTGCTTTTATTATCCACAAGTCTTTGCATAACAATAAGCATTTAATAAATTAGCTTAATTGAATTTCACTTTTATATGAATTCTTAAAAAAAAATCTCAATGATGGGCTGGTAGTACAAAGAAATCACTCTGGCTGTTTCAGACTTGTGACTGCAGTCTCAGAAACCACCCAACGGCTCTCTATGGCAGTGGTTCCAAGGGCCTGTGAGCTCAGGCTAGGAAATATTGCCTTCTCTATAAAGCTTGTCTCTGTCATCCATCCCCACAGAGAACCATTTTCTTGCTAGCGAGTCTGAGTCTCTCATACGCCACCCCAAGCCCCAGGACTAGACTTGGTGACTGAGAGAATGATGGCGATGGTGGGAAAGATGACTGGATCCCAGCAGTGAAGCCCTCCCAACAGCACCCCATATCATGCACAAACTCAAGCAAAGGGGGGAAGAGGGGATCTTACCTGTCCGAGAAAAGGGCTCGAAAGGCAGGTGGGGAACAAATGAGAGAAAGACACGTTTATGTAGTGACCAATCACTGTGAGGGAGGTAGCTCCTGTTTGAGCCATCAGCAACAACATGAAAAAGGCTGTGCCGTAAACGTTTTTAGCAAACCATGGAAAGACCAAGTTCCTACAAACTCTCCCATAGCTAAATCAAAACAGGGTCATGTTTTCAAAACAACAACAAGTCACTACTGCAGCCTGCCCAATTTCCCTCCCAACATTTTAGGCCCCCTTTACAAGAATTCTGCCTACCTAGTTGGTAATAAAAACGCATCTAAGTTCCTGGGACCCTGTGCATATAGCTCACATCTGTGTTCCTTTCACATGTAAATTGCTATATTGCATCCAGGAAGACATTCATTCATACACTCTCAGTCTAAAGGAATAGTATGGAAAAGCCAAGTGGCAGAGGCTGCCCACCACACAGGCAGCTGATGGAGGAGGGGATTTAAAATCATGTACCCAGACTCCAAGACCATGCATGAATTTTGCCTTACACCATGGTGACCCAAATGACATGGCCAACAACCTTAGAGCCACCAAAATATTAGAGTTCAACTTACATTGTAAACATTCTAGCAGTCTAAATCAACCATGGGAGAAATAGGAGGGAAATTAGGTTCCCTCATTTTTTCAAATGTTCAAGTAGCTGGGAATAAATGCTCAGACATTGTTCTACTGGATGGCCATAATTGAGAGTTTAGGATGAGACTGTCCTTTGCAGTCAGTGTAAATACATCACCGTTTACATCCAAGGCCTCTATGTTTCTAAGTTGACTGGCTTTGATGGTCCATATGGGGATGCCTGCATCTTCTCCTACAAGGCTCACAATCACCTTTCATTCTTATTCTACATCCTATTAAGGTGCCAGGTTGTTATATAGGAAAGGAAGGTAGAGAGACAAGGCAGTCCCAGAGTCCACAGTCTCATCAGTACACAACCTTCCAGTGAGCATGGTAGGATGCAATTAGAAACAATATCTGATCCCTAACGTTAGGAAATATAGGCTGAAGTGTTTAGACATAAAAGGATATAGAGTAACTTACCTCCAGGTAGTTTAGAAAACAAAACACATTAAGAAAACAAAACAAAACAAAACAAAAAAAAAAACCCTGCTCTAAACAATACAACCAGTAGAAAACAGCTAAAATGTTGAGAGGTAGAGGAAAACCAGGGAGATGAAAAGCATGATGGTCACTCCCAGAGGACAGAGGGAACACATAGGAATGTCAACACAGAAAAGGTGATGCTCATAAAGAAAATATGGGATGAGCAACCCCACTGTCATGGCTCTACAATATTCTTCCTTCTGGCTGGACAGTCTCAGTCAAGAAAAGAAAATTCAGCTATTACCCACTCCGCTCCCCCCCATGTGAAGTATAAATGGCAGAGACTTTTCTTCCATTCTGTGGGATACCCATTCACTCCACCAATAGCTTCTTTTGCTATACAGTGGCTTTTTAGCTTCATGCCGTTTCATCCTGGGGCTATTTCCTGAGCCACCGGAGTTCTGCTGAGAAAGTTCTTGACTATAGTGAGAATTTTGAAGTGCATTTCTTATGTTTTCTCTAGCAGTTGCAGCATTTCCGGTTGTAAATGGGTCCAACTGTATTCTTTTGCCGATGGACACACAGTTTTGCTAGAACTATTTATCTTTTCCTCGTCGCATGATTTTGACACCTCTTGTCAAAAGTTAGATGGCAGTTTGTTTCTAGGTCCCCCGTTTAACTAGCTTAACTGTGGAAGCTATAATATTAAACAAGGTGAGCCAACTCAAAAATATTCAAAAACTGGACATCTTTTTTCCATGTGCAGAGTCTAGATTGTGATATATATATATAGAAAAATGTATATATAGAAAAAGAGACCCAGGAATAATAAAAAGAGATGCTAAGGAAGGTAGGAAAGGACAAAAGGGCACATGTA